CAGATGAGTTGAGAACATTTCCTGAAAGTACCAGTCTCCCAGCTTCCCTGGTCTTGGAGTAATTCATTTTCCAGCCAAAAATTTTCACGGGGCCGTACGTGGCAGGCACGCACATTGGGGGCTGTATTTGATAAATTGCAGTTGTAGATGAGTTAGGACCATTTCCTGAAAGTTTCAGACTCTCAGCTTCCTTGGTTTCGTAGTTATTCATTTTCCCGCCAAAAATTTTCAGAGGGTCGTACGTGGCAACTACGCATGGCGAGGGGCTGGATTTGATAAATTGGAGTTGCAGATGAGTTGGGAACATTTCCTGAAAGTTTCAGCCTCCCAGCTTTCGTGGTTCCCGAGCTAGCGATTTCCGCGCCAGGAACTCTCACGAGGCCGTACGCGGGAACCACGAACCCCCGGGAGCTGGATTTGAAATCTTTGAGTTCTACTTGGACTGGAAACATAATCCCAAAATTTCAGCTTTTCTGGTTCTCGACTTAGCGATTTTCCCGCCAAAACTTTGAGGCGCTCGTACGCGGGGCCTAGTCGTGCTTGAGGGTTGGTACCGCGGTCCTGGGGTGACACCTGGCCCGGGAATCCACTCACAAAATTTTGGCGCCGGAGCTTGCTTGGGTGCCGAGTTGAAATACCCGGACAGACACACACACACACACACGCATACACATACACCGGGGTCGTCGCAGTATGCGTTTTTGCATTTGCATATTATGCAAAAACGCATAATAATTTCCCAGATATAGCAAGTGGGTCGTTCACTTTGAGACGAGTGAAGCAGCGGTGCACTCATGTTAAACAACGAATCCAAAAGTAACGAGCTCAAAATCAGTGCGAAGCCTTTTATTTTTCTTGAACTATATCAGTTCTAATAGCTTAAACGGTTTGAAACATTTACAGTTGTGAGAGGATGAGTATTGGACCAAAAAATGAGAAAAATATTTTCAACAAGAAATGATTGATTTTCGTCTGATAAATTGCAGGTAAACACACGGAAGACAGTAATACCAGTAAATGTGCCTCGAGCAATTTGTGAGCTTGGAATATCGCTGCGATCACTAGCCTGGACA